GGAGTAAGCCCTGGACACCACTGGGTGTGACCCCAAAACAAGCACAGAAGAAGAAAGAAATATTTATTCCAGACTTACCCTGTATTTCAAGGACAACAGTGGTAATTTGGGAGAGAGTCCTATTCCCTGACATACCTTCATCAGAGCAGACAGTTCAATGGAAAAAAAAAAACCCCACCAGAGCGCAACATGGATTTCTGCTGCTTGGTTCTAGAAAAGACCAGTATGCACCCTGAAAAATAGCAGGGCAAGGAACACAGTTCCAACTATTCCTCTAGGCTCAAAGGGATCAAATAGGGAACTTGGTTTTCACACTAGTGGTGGTTTGGTAACGGGTAAGGAATAAACTCTGTTTCCTTGTCTTGACCAGTGTAAGATGTTCTTTACAATAAGGGATATGGGCATGAAGAAAGGCTGGACTAGCTTTGCGACTTCTGTGTACATTAAAAATAAATTCCAAGGCCAGAGTGATATGCAGCAGTTAGGGCATTTGCCTTGAATGAGGCTGACCTGGGGTCAATACCCGACATTCCATTCTATCCTCTGAGCATCTCCAGGAGTAATCCCTGAGTGCAGAGCCAGGAGTAAACCTTAAGCCCACCAGGTGTAGCCCCCAAACAAAAAATTCCAGGAGCTCTTGCTTTGCAAGCATGAGGTTCAAGTATAATTCTTGGGCACTCTATGACTGAGTATCACCAGGAGTAACCCCCAACCACCAATCTGGAGTAATTATCCAGTATCACTAAGTGTTGCCCCCAAACTAAACAAAATTTCTAAAATGGATCACTGTCATTGTCACTGTCCTCCCATTGTTCAACGATTTGCTCAAGCAGGCCCAGTAACATTGTGAGACTTGTTACTGTGTTTGGCATATCGAATACGTCACGGGTAGCTTGCCAGGTTTTGCTGTGAGGGTGAGATACTCTCAGTAGCTTGCTGGGCTCTCCAAGCGGGGCGGAGGAATCGAACTCGGGTCGGCCATGTTGGCTGCATGCAAGGCAACTGCCCTACCCGCTGTGCTATAGAGGGGGAAAAAGGTCCTGAACATGGAGAGGTCAGTAAACCGAGTATATGTAGAAGAGAATAAAAATGAGAAAAAAGGTTTTACAAAAATACTGTTGTTCAAACACAGAAGAGGTGAGGCATTGAGTGGGGAATCAAGATTCTTTCAAGAGTCAAAGTCTGGTACATACAAACAGATAATTCACTGTGTTTGTGCCAGAGACTCGAAGGGGCCATGACTACTGCAACCGAGCGGGAAGTCAGACAGCGAGTGAAGCCTAATGTGATCTGTAAATTATAATAATAATTTAAGTAATAATACCTACAGAATCTCTACACTGGAGGTCATACACATTACAGTATGGATCTAAGGGGAAATCCAGTAAGGCTTCTTATCTAAATGCTCATGTTTTCACATTTACATTGCTTTTTTTGGGAGAGGAGGGGGTTGATTTTGGTTTCATGTGGAAGGCGAAAGAAACCTGGGAGGGGAGGTTCAAGTTGAATTATTCCTTGTGTAAGGCATTTCAGAGAGCACCACCATCCACCCAAACCCACTCCTTCTAAGCAACTGTGTCTGCACTGCACACACTTCCCAGCTCCCTGCCATTGGAAAGGCCATATGGTCAAATTCTCCCCAATGGAAATATAGGTTTTAGAGAGGGACTATTTCCCAAGCATTAGATATCATCCCTCCCCTTCTTTCTTCTTCCCATTGGAACCCAGACATGGTAGGGCACCACCATGACTTGGTGAACATGGCACTGATATCCCAGAGCAGCATTTCTCAATTGGGGGCGATCTGGTTCCTGGAGACCCCAAGGATATCCCAAGGGGGGCCACAGGTAAAATTGGTGCCTGTAAATATAAATTGGAGGACAGAGTATGAGACTGGGGGCGGGGGTGCCAACTGGTAGGGTGGAAGGGGGAGCGTGGAAGAGGAAGCAAGGTCAGAAGGGTGCCATGGTCTAAAAAAAAAAAAGACTGAGAAATACTGGTCTAAGTACTATGCAGAGCAAGTAGACAGAGGGCACAGAGAGCAGTCTGGGGGGCAGGGGATGCCCTGAGGATGGAAACTTCCGGTCACCCTGAAACCAGACAGACCGCATGTTGATCTGGAGAGAGAGAGAGAGAGAGAGAGAGAGAGAGAGAGAGAGAGAGAGAGAGAGAGACTCAAGGCCCCATGATGTTCAGGCCCTGTGAGGAGTGTTTCTAGACGTGACTGAGAGCCTTCGAGATGACAGACCCTTCTGTCTAAGAATGACTTCCTGAGTCCCAGGGCCGGAAGCATCTTGCAAAGCCCCTCCTGAAGGCCTGACTCACAGGCGCCCAGAGAGATGTGAGTGTTTCCAGTCATTGCTAGGCTTTGAGTGGTTTGCTCTGTAGTAAGATTTAACCGCCTAATTTCCTATTATAACAGATGATTACTCTTACCATGATCTGTCACTGCTTTAATGCTCTATATCCAAATTATATTTTTTAATTTGCTTTTTATTTTATTTTATTGGTGGTTATGGTAGAGCACAATCAACATGCTCAGGGGTGACTCCTGGTTCTGCACTCAGGAATTACTCCTAGCGGTGCTCAGGGACCATATGGGATGCTGGGGATCAAATCTGGATGGCTATGTGCAAGGCAAACACTCAACCTGCTGTACTACTGCTCTGGCCCCTCTATCCAATTTTTTTTTTTTTTTTTTTGCTTTTTGGGTCACATCCAGCGATGCACAGGGGTTACTCCTGGCTCTGCACTCAGGAGTTACTCCTGGTGGTGCTCAGGGGACCATATGGGATGCTGGGAATGGAACCTGGGTCGGCCTCATGAAAGGCAAACACCCTACCCGCTGTGCTATCTCTCCAGCTCCTATCCAAATATTCTTAACAAGACAAAATGCCTCAAAGCTAACTTACACACATTGTTACTTTATAAAAATATATAAAGGTGGGGTGGGAAGAATCTCAGAGAGGTTTGACAACTTCTCAAAGCTGAACTGTGAATCTGAGACTACAGTTTCTGATTTCTAATCCACTTTTTCCGGTACTTGGCTATAGATTCTTATCAACACAGAGCATAGAAGAAACAGATATAAGCTTCATGTTTAAAGCACAGAAGTACAGGTGCCAAGAGGGCTTCTATATATATAGGGAGGAGAGAGAAGAGAGAGAGAGAGAGAGAGAGAGAGAGAGAGAGAGAGAGAGAGAGAGAGAGAGGAGGGAGGGAGTGATAGAGACACACAGAGAGCAAGAGAGAGAGAGAGGGAGAGAGAGAGAGAGAAGAGTGACAACCACATGGACAGGACCAGCTATGACCTAACATCCTAACATTTCCCTTAGGGCAGAGGGCAGAGGGTTTGCACTGCATTTCTGGCCTAGGCCTGCACCAAGAACTTTGCACAGTGATCCCTGTGTCACTGGTCTATTGCTCAAGTGCAGGAGGGCAGCTGGACTGATGACTTCCCCTGGTACCACCCAACCTGCAGGACAAGACCTTAACCGCGAAATAAACCCAAGTCCTTGGAAGCAACCGCCAAACTGTCCCTCTAACTAGGCTCAGCGCCCGAGCAGTAACCCCAACTGAGCCATTCTCTTCTCTAACTCTTGGATGATGAACTGTGTTTCGACTGCCAAAGATAGAGAATCTCTACTTTTTTCTTAAATGAAATAACAATCCATGCTTCGGCTTCCCTTTGAACAGCACCTACCCCGAAGCGTGGACATTCAGGCCAGCAACAAGGACAGGCAGATACACAGGGTCCCGCCGGACTGTCCACACTCAGTTTCACAGAAGGAGGCATGCAGCTAACTGACCGTTTCTTAAAGAAAAAGGAGGAGGAAGAAGAGGAGAAATTCAAGAATTCAAGCGACTAACAATAGCTCGCTGAGTAAATAAATCTCCCCACGTAGATAGCACACTAAACATTTTCTGGAAGAAAAAGGAGGAAGGGAATTCAAAGTGTCTAACAATAGAGATCTGAGTAAATAAATCCCTATAGTAGGCACACAATGTGAAAAGACTGAAGGTCATGTTTCCACATCTCTAAGGCGATAGGAAATGACCATGACAAGCCACAGAGTGAGATGCTGGTTTAGAAAGTTTATAGGCAGTGTTAACTGAATTTTGACTTTAAAATGCCATCTATTTATTATTCATATTAGAAAAAATGGACAGGATACAGCATAAAATATTAACATTGATTTTTATCAAGGAGGGAAACAGAGGGCTCTCACCTTGGATACTTATCTATCAACATCCCTTTTTGTCAATAACTGTACGACTTTGGCCACTCGAAAAAGCTACTTAAGATCAAAATCACAGCCTTAGACTGTCTTGCATACTTAAACATTTTAAAAGAAGATCATGATTTTTGTGTCCAGTACGTGGTTATCAAACACAACTCCCAATCACCTTTCAAAAACATCAACCTGCCCAACTTACAGGAACTAAACAAAATAGCATCCCATTCCAACTGGAAACGGCACCTAACGCAACCCACGCCTCTTTCTCCCCAATCACTGCTCCTAACAAAAGTTGTTCTTACCCAGAACCATCCAGAGTGGAAACTGCATTTAATCTACTTTGGTTCCCGCCGAACCGGGAGGGCGCTGGATCTCATCCCTGCAGTTGCTAAGCATGAAACTGGCCACCGTTGCTTTTTCTTCCCCCAGCCAAAAAAAAATCTGCTGGAGCCTCCCCAGAAACACACATTTACAAGGTTGAGTGAGTGTTCCGTGCCCTGCAGCAGTCGCTCCGGGCACAATCAGTTCATCCGCTCTCTTTCTGCACTAGCTCCATCTCACTTTCAAATCCAGCCCCAGTCCTACAAGAGGCAAGAAAAGCAAAAACCCCAAAGCCACCACCCACCGTTCCACCAGGCCGTTCAGGTGGCAGGCGGGCATCTCCGCCCCGCTAGCTGTCTGTCGGGGAGAACTCTTCACAATGCATCTCCTGCCCCGTGGAGCCAAGAACCCCAGCGGCGGCCCCGCAGTGCAGTTTCTCACCGTGGCGACGGCGGAGAGGAGGCTCTGGCTGCTCGGGGAACTTGCAGGAACAAGTTAGTTGGGGCATCGGCTCCCTGGCACCTCCACGTGAGTGAGTTCTTTCTCCCGGGGCCCCGCTGAGCCACCACTGGCGCCTGCTTTCAGCTGATGCAGTGACCCCTCCCGGGAGGAGGAGGAGGAGGAGGAGGGGGAGGAGAAGGAGGAGGAGGAGGGGGTTGGAGGAGGAGGAGGAGAAGGAGGAGGAGGAGCGCGATCAGGTGAAACCAGCCGCTTACCCGTAAGTGCGCGCAGCTCGCTCCTTGGAAATATTGCATGAGTCAGCTTTTATCTCGCGGAACCCCACCGCACAAAAGGCTGGACGGAAACCTGATTTGCAACTTTCTCCCTGCCTCTCCCCCCCCCCCCCCGCCCCCCACCCTCGTGTGCCGACCACAAGCTTCGGCATCACCGAGAGCCTTAAATGAAACATGACATCATTCAATTGAGAAGCAGGACAATAGAAAGCACTGTGGGTAACTTGAAAATGCACACTTGGCTGAGCAGCACCGCGCGCCCGCCCGCCCTGGCCATTCTTTTGTGAACATCAAATACAGCCCACACTGGGCTCAAGCTGCCCAGAGCTCCACCTTCCTGCCTCCAAATTTCCTTCCCCCCCCCCACCCCCCCTCAGTAAGCAAGAGCTTGGGAGTGCTGAGATTTCCAAGTTCACTTCCTGAATGCAAAGTCAGTTCAATGGAAACATTCTCTTAAAACGTGTAAGTGAAACAGACCCATACATCTTCAACCTAAGTTTATTTTCTGAAATAAAAAAAAATTGATATATTTTGCAGTGCCATGCGTCAAACTCAGGCCTCACACAGGCATGGCATGGCATCTACCGCTGAGCTACATCCCCAGACCATTAATTTAAGATTTAGCTTAAAGGAGGTTTGGACGGTGGGGGAGAGGAATACCAGAGTTGAAGTCAGTTGGGGTAATTAGTTTCCATTCACTTTTAATACAACTTTAAGCAACCAAATGAAATTTGCTTTAAACTTGGAGAAAGAGAGAGAGAGAGAGAGAGAGAGAGAGAGAGAGAGAGAGAAATTCAAACACCCATCCCCCCCAAATAAATCTTTCTTGAGACAAATATTTTAAATGAAAAGTTAAAGTCATTTTCTAGGAAAAAGCAAGTTCCCCCCCCCCCCCCCATTTATAAACGCTAAGAGGTAAAGTCAGAGTGATGTACTTCCACCCTTATTAGGAAGAACTTGAGGTTCTAATGTTACGTCTGCCTGTATAGAAAGATCCTATAGGTTCCTACTTGAAAATGGTATTGATGGAGATCTTCAAAAGTACCCCAAATTGGTATTGTTATTGAAAATTGATTCCACTGCACCATGGGACTCTGCCTGTAAATATGAATTTTGCCCTTGCATAGACAACCCACATGAAATGATTGCAAAGGATCAAAATCCTTTAAATAGAGGCACCATTTAAAGCATTAATTTGTGGTTATGGAAAGGAACATTAGCTGATCATCTTTAATATAGCTATTCCTATCATGCCTATTAAGTGATTTTAAACTAACAACATAATAGGATAATTTCTCTTAACGCCTGTTTCCTCCTCACTAAGGCTGAACAGGAGACAGACTGCCTTAGGAAGTCCACTCTGAGGGGAATTTACCAGTACAGATGAAAGTGAGGGGCGATTTCTCCCTGCAAAACTCACCAGTTTGCTAGAAGTCATGAACTTGTGGAGGTTGAAAAATCAGTTTATTTTTTAATGAATTAATTTGGCCACTGGTGTTGGCCTACATCTGTCAATCAGAGCTCAGGGCTTACTCCTGGCTCTGTGCTTGAGATCACTGATCAATCAATCCTGGTGGGACTCAAGGGGGACCCTGTGTGGTGCTGGAAGTTGAACTGGGTTTGACTGCATGCAAGGTAATAACTTTAGTCCTGTGCTAGTTTTCTGATCCCTGAAAAGGCAGTTTCAAGGCACATGATTTCTCCCAGGGCTGTCGGAGCTGTTTAAATCCTTCCTTCTGATCTCCATGGTGATGTCCCTGACCCCAAATCTCACTCTCCCATACCTCTGCCTCAGGTGGACTCAACTTTCTGAATCCAACTTAGAAACATTGTACTTAGCTACAGGCCAGCTAAGCTTCTATCCTTCCACGCTTCTGTGACATTTCTGCAAACATGCTGACTGCTCTTTCCCTCCTTCAATGATCGTTTGCAACAGTCAGAGGAATCTGCTTCATTCTTTCCTTATCATCAGCTGCCACCCTGGATTATCAGCTCACAGAAGACTTGAAGATCACTGTTCTCAGAGGAGGCTGGGTATGCAGAGATTCCTGGCTACTTCTGGGCTCATTTGTTTTCTCCCAAATTTACTACTTCCATTTTCCAGTTAAGTATTGTTTTAGGTTGGCTTGGGTTTATTTTCCCACCTAGAAACATGCTCTGATGAACATTGTTTCTGTGTGTGTGTGTGTGTGTGTGTGTGTGTGTGTGTGTGTGTGTGTTGGGGGACCACACCCAGTGGTGCTCTAGGGTTACTCCGGGCTGGTTGTTCAGATCACTTCCAGTGAGATTTGAGGGACCAAGCAGTGCTAGAATCAAATCCAAGGCTCCAAGTATGCCAAGCAAATGTTTAGCCCTTTGTGCCATCTTCCTGATCCTAAAAGGTCCTTTCTGAAAGATTTTGTGTGTATGGCAAGGGAACAGCATCAACCAAGCTGCTCTGGTGTTGAATGCTAATGGAAGATGGTTCCACAACACACTGAACAGGCCTTGTTTTAAAGGAGACCTCAACGCTGGCAACACGGGCCTATATCCCAGTCATTGATCAGTGTACCCATGATTTCTGCCTTAGCAGAGCCATCAACCTTTATAAAGATCTTTTTTATCACTTACAAGTAAATGAAACACCCTACATAGCATCCTCAAACATGGGTGGTTCTAGTATTTGAATCTGGTTTTTGTATTATAACTATAGCTTAAAATGTACCTTATGTATAATTAGATATGCTATAATATAATAAATACATGTATTATAAAATTATTATAAACATTTTCAGAGCAAGGACAGACACACTATTGTTTTGACTTTATATTTATCTCAGTATCAAGCACTTATTGAGTGAATTAATACAGTAATAGTACATAGATCCAGGAGAGGAATAAGACAGGAAAAAGAAAAGTATATTTCTTGAACAAAAGTCAAGGTTTCTTTATACCTGAGAACTGGTGGATCTTTCTTTATTTTTAAAATTTAATATGGATTTAATTTAATACAGGTTAGATGTATATGGATTAAGTCACCATTTTGGGGAACCACATCCAGTAGTGCATAGAGGTTATTCCTGGCTCTGTGCTCAGTGATCACTCCTGGCAGGGTTCAGGAGGGGATCAGAGGACCATATGGCATGCCAAGGATCAAAAACTGGGTAGGCTGTGTGCAAACAAATGCTCGACCAGTTGTACTATTGCTCCAGCCCTGCATCCATTTCTTTTTTTCAATTGCATCACCGTGAGATACAGTTACAAAGCTTTCACTGAAACTCAAACACCCATCCCTCCACCAGTGCACATTTTCTACCACCAACGTCCCCAGTATACCCCCACTTTCTAACCCTCCCTGCCTTCATAGCAGACAATTTCCCCCATACTCTCTCTCTACTTTTGGGCATTATGGTTTGCAACACAGACACGGAGAGGCTATCACGTTTGGTCCTTTATCTACTTTTCAGCACACATCTCCCATCCCGAACAATTCCTCCAACCATCATTGTCTCAGTGATCCCTTCTTTATTCCAGCTGCCTTCTCCCCCAGCTCATGAGATGGGCTTCCAGCTATGGGGCAATATTCCTTCCCTTGTGTCTACTGTCCTTGGATGTTAGTTTCATATTATGTTATTTTATGGGTGGAGTGATAGCACAGTGGGTAGGGTGTTTGCCTTGCATGCGGCCGACCTGGGTTCAATTTCTCTGCCCCTCTCAGAGAGCCCAGCAAGCTACCAAGAGTATCCCACCCATGTGGCAGAGCCTGGCAAGTTCCCCATGACGTACTCGATATGCCAAAAACAGTAACAAGTCTCACAATGGAGACGTTACTTGTTCCTGCTTGAGCAAATCAATAAACAATAAAAGGACAGTGCTACGGTTATTTTATATTCCACAAATGAGTGCAGTTCTTCTATATTCCTCTCTTTCTAACTCATTTCACTTAGCATGATATTCTCCATGTCCATCCACTTATAAGCAAATTTCATGACTTTACCTCTCCTAACAGCTGCATAGTATTCCATTGTGTAGATGTACCAACGTTTTTTTTTAACCAGTCATCTGTTCTCACAGCCCCACATTCTTAAATGTATTTTCATTCTTAATACATTTTTAGTCAATTCAAGCTTTTTTCTTTGAAAGCAAAAGTCATGGAATGACCTTTTCTGAGTACGTATCACAGAAAAAAGGTGATAAATATGAAGTCAAATATCTGCCAAAGGTCTCACTCATTCCTCCACTCCCTACAAACACAAACCAATGTCCCCAAGGTGGCCTCAGTCACCTCACTAACATCTTTCTACATAGTGTTATTTATTCATTACACCACATTTATTGCAAATGTTATTTATTACAAATCTTTATTAATTGTTCAGATAGGAGGGTCTGAGCCCACTCAAGATCACCCACTGCAACTTTCAGTTTTGCTATTGTTACACAGACTAAAGGACATACTTGATTTAACAAACACACTTAATCTTTTTTGTCCCCCTAAACTGGTTCTTTTCAAAGTGAAGTCATTTTCATTGTGCATTAGTTTGTTTTCACAAATTAAAAAGGTGCTTAGGAGAACAAAACATAGAGATTTGAGGCAGAAAAAAAATCCCACAAGTATAGGAGAACTCAAAGGAAAGTATTATTTTGCTTTGGTTAGTCCTGGAGTACTAAACCTAACAACAGGAATCATTTTGTATAAAGACTATGATCTCAATACTTAAATGATACAACTGAAATGACCATCCCTTCCCTCCCTTACTCCAGCATGGAGGCATGGCCATGAGAATTTTAGAAAACAAAGCACCTAGGCACTCTTGAGCACAGCACAACCTTACCTTTGCAGTGTACCCGTTCCATCACCTCTCA